TTTTTTTTGTTTGTTTGTTTATCCCTTTGGATGGAGTTAGCATATAAAGCAGTACCGTACAACCTTTCTGGCTAGCGTGTGCACCAAGTAGAGGGAATTTTTTATGAAGCACCAGGTAAAATTCCCTTCTCTGTCCCTCTCTGCCAGTACTCTTAATCCTGATCAGCAACATCCCCTGCTGTCTCTCGAGCTGCTCACAGCACCTGAATCTTAGCTTGGTTTTTAATATGGGTACACCAGAGGCTAGCGAGGGACCCTGCAAAGTAGTTTTTACTTCTGACTTGATAAGCGCTCTACACTTAATTGAATATAAGTCTGCTCTTCTTCGGCCCTGCTGCCCTTTCTATGTCTTAAGCACCATCATTTTTGAGTAAGGTGATCTTGCTGCTACTTTTAAAACAGCGTGAGATCAACAGGGCATACTTTTTTAATTTCAGGATGTAGTTGTGTACAGAGGGAATCAGACCGGTGTACAGCAGTACTTGTGTTGTAGGTAGTTACTGGAAATCCAATTCTACAGGTATTTTTTCCAGGCAAAACTATCTGGTGTCAAAATGTTTATTCAGCCTTGGTAAAACTTCAGATCTGTATGATAATTCTCACTTTCTACATTTAATTTTTTAATTCTTGCGGAGGTCTATGAGAGAATAATGTCTAGATAATAATTATTTCCCGCTAATGAGCTCTGTGTTTTTTATAGCAGAAATTACTTAGAGCCAGTGAAAAAATTATTCTATTTGATGCTCCTATGATGTGTCTGAGAGGAGGATAAAAATGAGCTTTGTGGGGATGAGACAGAGTATTTAATGTACAAAGTGTTAGTGTCATTGTATGAAGTGATGCATCATACATAGAATTTTGGCGATTTGGTTCATGCAAAAAATGTTTACTGCCTGGGGGCTTTTCTGGACCAGAAGAGAATAAATGAGCTTGGGCTTTTGAAAGTAGCAAACCAGTAGTGGCAAGGGGCTGCTGGGTGTCTGTCCATGCAGTGAGGGGGAAGACGTGGAGGGAGCCTGGCAGGACGAAGTCCATTTGAGAGAACACTAGTAATGTGAGAACAAGTGAAGTTGAGGATGCAAGTGAAAATACTTCTAGCTACTAGGGAGAAGCGTGAGAGTCAGAGAGCACTTTTCAGTGGGAGCAGTTGGGTGTTAAAAGCAGAACTGTTTTTGAGACTGAATATCAAGGAATCATCAGAGTCCAACTCCCCTGCTAAAGCAAGATCACCTAGAGCACATTACACAGGACTGCATCCAGGTGGGTTTTTAATATCTCCAAAGAGATTCCACAGCCTCCCTGTTCTAGTACCTTGTCACTCTCACAGTAAAGAAGTTTTTCTTCATGTTTAGATGGAACTTCCTGTGGTCCAGCTTGTGCCCATTGCCCCTTGTTCTGTCACCAGGCACTAATGAAAAGAGTCTGGTTCCATCCTCCTTACACCTACCCTTTCGATATTTATAGACATTGATAAGGTCTCCTTTCAGACTTCTATTTATAGACATTGATAAGGTCTCCTCTCAGACTTTTCTCTGAGCTAAACAATCCCAGCTCTCTCAACCTTTCCTTGTAAGAGATGCTCCATCCCCAATCATCTTCATTGCCACTGGACTGTCTCCAGTAGTTCGCTGTCCCTTTTTAAGTGGGGAAGCCAGAATTTGAAACAGTATTCCAGATGTGGCTTCTGTAGGGCAGAAGAGTGGGGGAAGATGACCTCCCTTGACCTACTGGCCGCATTCTTCATGATGCATCCTGGATACTGTTGGCCTTCTTGGCCACAAGGGCACATTGCTGACTGATGGTTAACTTACTGTCTTCCAGGACTTCAAGGCCCTTCTCCTCAGGGCTGCTTTCCAGCAGATTGATCCCTAACCTATAGATGGGATAGTCCCAGGTGCTGGACCTTACCTTTGCCCTTGTTAAACCTCGTTAGGTTCCCCTCTGCCCAACTCTCTATCCTGTCCAGGTCACCCTGGATGGCAGCTCAGCCCTCTGGTGTAAGCTACTCTTCCCAGTGAACTTGCTGAGGATACACTCTGTCATCTCATCTAGGTCACTGACAAATATGTTGAACAAGAACAGAGCCAGTACTGCCCCCTGGGGAACATCACTGGCTGCAGGCCTCCAACTCAACCCTGCACCGTTGGTCATAATCCTGTGTGCTCTGTCACTCAACCAGCTCTCAATCCACCTCACTGTCTACATAATTTGATCAGTTTACAATAGAAATTTTATGGCATCTCTGTGTAGGAGAGCAGGGGACTGCACTACTTACTGGTCCTTTCTCCAGGAGCCCTGTTGGACTCCTTCTCAGTCTTATGAGTTAGTTCTGTGCATTCTGCCTTCTGCTTTTCCAATTGGGCTGTGAGAAGCTATGCTGTGTGGGAGAAATGACAGGTTTGGAAAAGGACAATAGTAAGCAGTGGTTCAGGTAGCTGATAGCAAACTTTGTTTTTGTTTATGGTGGAAGGCAACAAATTGGGGTAGTTTCATATGTACAGTTGATAAATCACTGTGCAGACTTGTTTGTTGGCATGAGTGACAGCTCACGAATGCAAATAATTGTCTCTCTGAAATCTCTGTGCAGTCTCCCAGCCCTGAAGTATATTGTCAGTAACACCCAAGGCTGCTCCTGATGGCACTAGCCATTAATCTGAGTGTTGCTGTATCTGGCTTTACTTGAGAATTTTGTTTTCTGGCACTACAGAGTATGTGTATGTATCTGTTTCTTGGGACACATACTCTTTTCCAACTGGGCTCCCAGTTTCTCTGTGGTTGTGTGGCACTGAGAAGGTTAAATAGGTAATACCAAAAGGAACAAAAGTTGTGTTACAAAGTCAACCAGAGATATGATATTATGCTTATTGATTTATTAAGCAACAATGTCTATTTGCATGTTGTTGGTTTTTTTCAAAGAAATATTTCAACAGAAATCTATGTGCCTGTGTATATTTGTATTTGTTTTCAACATGCCCTTCTCTGTCTGTCCTGATGTTCAATTAAAATGCAGATAATGTGTCCCAGCTTTTAAGATGAATCACTGCTGAAGTGACGTCATGTTTGGGCTAGCTTGTCTCTTGATAAATACCTCTTCTGTCCACTGAGAGATTAAACTTTGTGACTGCTGAGGTCTGTTTGGAGGTCTTACAGGCAGATAAGACTTTGTTACTTACTTTTAATAAAACATATCAATTTACATTTGTTAAAGAACCTTTGGATGCCATTTGCTATTGAGAAGGTGGCAGTGGCATAATCAAACAATAGTACTTGCATGTGAAACTGGCTTTTCTGTTTCATAAGTATTACAATTTACTGACAGGAGTGCTTCATTGAACCATCCTGTGCGAGTGTAGAGATGAAGAGCTTGGGCCGTGGTTATAAGACCTCATTTAGCTGTCTATCAGGAACGATTGCTTTCCCTGAGTCTAATCCAGCAGGAGCCATGGAAGAACATTATCAGCTAGGTACAGAAATCTCAGGCAGCTCAGGTGTGTGGGATGTATGCAGATGCTGTGGTCTGGGGTCTGTCTTGCCATGACAGGCAGGCAGTCTGGGTTCTCCCCACAGGGAATACTCTTCTCCCTCTAGGGGTTGTTTATGGACAGTGCTGGACTTGTAGAGGTACTTTAGCAGGAGAGATGTTGAGTCATGCGTAAGTGGTGAGCAGCCAGTTTCTCTAACCAAACAACTATCTGAAAAATTTGCTGTCTCTTATGTGTAGGGACTGGAAAAGAGATTTTCATGGACAGCTCTCTGAATACCAGTCTGCTCAGTGTCTCTGAAGAGATTCAGGAGGGAGAGGTTTCTGTGCAAGTCTGGGACATTGCTTATACTATTATAAAGTTTTATGTGGGTATGTATTTCTGAATCTGTGCCCACTCCTTATTTGTGAGTGTGAGAATACAACTTTTTGGACTGTACTGCTCTGTTGAAATAAAAGAATACAGGAATTTGTAGGCAAAGACTGTTTTCATGTTCCACTGGGCATTCATTTCCATTGCCATGAAAGTGATAGAAACAGCAAAGTATACATATGTATACATATGTATTTGTGAAACATCTCTGTGCTCCTTAGAAGTGAATTCTAGAAAAAACAAAACCAACTTAAAACTACTCAGCTTTTGAAGTGCAGGCTGGAGTTTCTTACAGTTCTGTTTAAAATATAAACAAGTAGAAGTCACAATGCAAACTGTTAATTACTGTGAATTATGGACAGAAACAGTTGATTGGTTGTTGGCTTCTGGCTTCATGATCAGCTGTTCTGCCATTATAGGAAAACTATAAGGTAAGGATAGAGAGGAGGAATGGGTGGAAGGGGCCCAGTGCAAACCATGACTGCACCAGGAGGCTTCCTTATGGTTACTTGTGCTTGTCTTGCTCTTGGTCCAAGTTTGAGTGGCATTTTGGCCATTCCATTTGGCCTTCACATCAGTAGAGCTCTTTGTGCTATGGCTAACCCCGTACCCCAGTCTGAATACAGGGGTAAGGGAGAGGTAAATGGCAAGTTCAGCATGGTGTGTGTGTGTGTTGATTTAGCACCTGCCATTTTCTCCTCTTGCAGGCATTGTTCTTGATTCCAGACACAGACTATTAGCTTGGTGAAGAGCTGCTTATGTGTGATCATGGATTATGACATAAAGCATGACTTTGAAAAAAACCTTAACTAATATTTGGAGCAGGGCAATGTTGACGGCACCAGTACCAAGCTGTGTCCACAAATATAACTCGGCATCTGGGGTGTCAATAGTGGGCTTAGGGTACTCTGGGTAAGGAAGAATCCCTATACCCTTGTCCTTGCCAAAGTCAGACCATCACTGTTATTTGTATTATTATTATTTTCTCTTGCATTATGTGAAGGGGCTTCTTGCAAGTGACTCTGCTTGATTGTTTAGGTGGTAAAAGCTCATGGACTGTGCTCAGTGATCTTTACTATCAATTTTGTCTTGCAGATCGAGGGATTTTAATGGCTTTCAGGTAGAAGGGAAGTGGAGACAATCAAAATGAATTCTATGGACAGGCACATACAGCAGACCAATGACCGGCTGCAGTGCATAAAACAGGTAAGCAGAAGGTGGAGATCATTGCTGCTAGAGCATTATGTGGCAGAGTGTGTTGTGCATTATGCTTGCCTATTGCTTCTTAAATATCCTTGTCTCTTAGAGAGGCGGAGAGTGATAGTAATGAGAAATTGTATTCTCATCAAAGAGAGTATCTGTGGCAAGAGCTGGTGGATAAGCCTCAAAAGCCAAACTTTCACCTTCCTAAGAAATCTTCAGCTTGGAGACTTACCACATCTGTTTCTGTTGAAAGCAGCACGTTGCTAGTTCTGCCAGCTCTGCCCTGAAGATGTCACAGTGGACAGCCATTGTACTTGTGTTCTGAACACAGTAATCTAAAATTGGAATGGGCCAGTTTTTATTCCAATCTAGTGTCTGACCTAAGACCTGTACTACCTGGAGACTTGAACTTGGATGTCTGCATACCTGCAAGTGCTTGGAATAATCAGTTTGCACAGAGATGTAAAAAATTTCATTTGCAAAGTAGTAGTTCCAGAAGTATATGTTTGTGAAGATGAAGGGGCCTTAGATCGATCCCACTGCCTTTCAGTGAGTTATATGTCTCATTACAGATTTCCCCACTTTAACTGTGCTTGCAAACACTTTTATAATCAGATTAAACTATAAAGGGAAGGATGGAATGAGCCAATGGCATCTTTCCCCACTTCACCCTTCTCAGTGAGCTTTGCTATCTGACATTGCAGGCAGCATGAATCATCCCCTCACTCATGTTGTACTTTGCATGCAAGAATCCTTACATGATCCTTAAAGGTCCTTTCCAACTTGAGATATTCTAAGAGTCTTTTATTATGTTTCTACTCTCTTAATTTCAACACTCTGTGATTTTGTTTTGCCATTTTTGCCTAGATATTACTCAAGGTTTATATTTTCTATAATGTGTTCTAATGCAAAGGACAGAAAATACGTGTTTATTTGCACATCTGGCCATGAAGATGCTTTGGGGGATATGAAAAAAGAACAGAATTTATACCTAAACCAGCTGACTTTTTTCTCTGTTTCTTTGTAAGAGAAGATTTCAGAATAAATCAAACAAAGCTAGTTCATAGGTCAAGGACAAATGAGTCCCTGCAAAATTGCTGATCATAATCCAGTCTTGGTCAGTGGTGCCTCTCTCTCTCTATTTCATCGCTCTATGGTGAAAGTTAATGTATCTCACTGCCCTTTAGAAGGCCTGAGGGAAATATGAATTTTGGCATTTCATCCCAGTTTCTTAGGAACAACTGTCTGGTTCAGAACAAGCGTACTCTTGGCTAGCACAAATTGGTGTCGTCCTTGGCCATTCTAGTCCATAGCATGAAGAATTAAGTGACTTGCAGAACAATTTAACCTTCCAGCTATAAGAACAGACCTGTAGATCAAGTGCAGACAAATGGAGGATGCTGCTCAGTTCCTTTTTCTAGATTTGTTGGGTTTTTTTCATACAGAATTTGTGCTATTTTCATTAGATAAAATAATATCAAATTACATTTCTTACAGTCTTAAAGAGTTATTTTTGCCATGTAATAGCTACTGTCAGTTAAACCACTAACTTCATTTATACATTATACTGCTTTGTATGAGCAGCTGGGATATTCCTTTAGTGATGAAGGCTAAGGGGAAGGGAGAAAGGTCAGACTTTCCAGCATTCGTGGAGCATTCAGGGTTTTGTTTGATGCTGTGTGGAAGAAAGCTCAGGGTTTTCTGGTGGGCAGGAGCATGCTTACATAGTTGCTCTGTTCATTCAGACAGCAAAGGATGCCTGATGAGGAGGTATCCTACCTGGGTGTGCTTGTGAATTCATGGTGCCTGTGTTCTATACAGGCTTTTTCATAGCTCCAAGATCTTGTGCTTTTACCTTGACAGAAACTTGACTAGCTTTTTGGAGGAGACTTACCTCTGCCACAGGGTCATCAATTTCCAGCTTGGAGACATTTACCCTTTTCTTTGAGACAGGTCATTAGCTGGCAAAATTAATGTGGAACCACAAAGAGTAATTTCCAGTTCACCCATAGAGAATGGAACCACAAACTGTTATGTTGACATTGGTTTGGGGAGCAAAGCAGTACTTTGCATGGCCATGTCAATGTATCTTCACCAATTTTGGGGGTTAACTGAAAGGTCACATGAAAACTCTGCCTGTCATTTCTTCCACAGTCTCTAGTCTTTTATCCTTTCTTCCTAGTCTGTGAACAAACAGTACTGATATTCTCCTTAAGAGATGTGTGCTTTTGGGGTGGTTAACACAGCAGTGACATGCAGGGTGCACTGCAACAAGTGGGGAGGAAAACCCTTCTTCCTAGGTGTCTGGCATCTGCATTTTTCAGAACCTTGCTGGCAGTTAGTAGCTCGTGCTGCCAGACCGGAGAGCTGACTGCTTCTCTCTCTGCCCCTCACCCCAGCCCCTAAGAAATGCTATAAACAGTAACCCATGTGCCTCTTTAACTAGATCAGGTTTCAACACAGGGTCAAGACAGGGTTCTTTCTTCCTAGCCCTGTGACTTGAGACACCCACAATATCCTTGCTGACTTCTGTTCCAGGATCAAGGTTGTGTTTTGCCTTCATCTTTTTTAGAGCTTTAAAGTTACAAACCCAAAACTTGTATATGCTCAGCTAGTTAGGAAATGAAGTATATGTGTTAAGAAGTGTTTCAGATTAGATGAAAGGGCAAACTGAAGAGGTGGATGTGTATTTACACTTAAAGAAAAAATCCAGACTTCTGTGGAAAGCTGGAACAGCTTGTGTGGTCTCTTTGTAACTGATTCCCTCAGTATTTTTAAGTGTATGTGCTTTAAAATGAAACATAGAGAGTTTTTTATGTATGGTGGAAAAAGCCAAAGTAACAGTCTTCCTTTAACACATGTAATTAGTTTGGCATGACACAGGAGACTCTTCAGGGTACATTGATGGAGGCTGGATCTTCAGAGTGCACACTTTTTTTCTTTAATTCTTTGTCAGTACAAACAAAACCACAAAATTGTTTTGTGCTCAGCAAAGGTCTGTTAGCTCCTGAGAACTGCCCTGTTCAAGGCTGCAGCAATAATTTGTTTATCTGCCAAGTATTCAGAGCTCAGTTGGTTCTAATGTACTACTGCCCACCTTGGAACTCAGGGCAGCAGGAGTTGACTCGGGTGGGTGCAGAAATAAATTTGAGGGTTTCCATCGTGCCTGGGGCCCAAGCACAGCCTTTGAAGGAGCCACCTTGAGTCCCACTGCATAGGAAGACCTAAAAGATAATTGACTAGTTTTCTTAAATTGTTCCTCTTAATAGACAGATATATGGCTTAATTAAACACTGTCCATTATTTTCCTTGTGTTATATGAGCAAATACCAGGCAAAAATTAGTGAGTTGCATGACATCTTCTGCCTACTTTCACTGTCATGGGTCCACTTTCAAAACTTAGAGCTATTTTAAATCTAGGGGCTTGTATCTTTTGTCATCTCTGTTTACTGTCAGTCAATTTGTAAAGATTCTGTATATCTCTTCTGAAATTCCTGAAAAGAGGAAGATGAAGAAAATCTGTCTATATTTAAGTTACAAGGAAGCCGCACCTTTCAGAATAGATGAGTGGTGTCTTTTTGCTGTGTTGAAGACAGTTGTAAGGGCACATACTAGAGCTGTGCTGAAATTGAATATCAAGTTAAAGGGAAGTATGAAAAGGCTCCCCAGTGTCAAAAGTATTTGGTTGTGGTGGGAACAGAAAGGTTGTTTCTGCAGCTTGTGTCACATTACATCAGGACAGGTGGAGAAATAGCATCAACTGATGCTGGATCACTTGGGGAATCCCAGTTAATTGGAGGCACATATGGCATAGCTGACTTCTAGAAACAGATTAGCATTTCTCCTGTTTCCTTCAAGAAAGCTTGCTGAATTGCTGCAGTTGTGATGCTTTATAATGCCTACCATTCAGAAAGATATGCTAAAAGTTGTAATTGCTGTGTGTTTGTGTTGGTCTTTTCTAGCTCAATTTGGAAACAGACCCATTTCTTTCATCCTTCAGCAACTGGGTTTTGGTCGCTTGCAATTCAGGGGAAAACAGAATTATTTGTACATTTACACAATAGCATTTAAGCCCTGCGATATTTCACCTAATTCTTCTGCTCTGCAGTATGATTTTCACAGCCTTGTGTAAATGCTCAGCAGTCCTAAACATGCTATTCTTAATATATTTTGGACTGATTAATATGGACTCCTATGAAATTACAGCTGAAATGGTTTTAATACAGCTTCATGAAAATTTCATTTTTCAAGAACTCTGAAAATGAGAAGTATTCTTATGAAGGGCTTCTTTATTTAGAATATGTGGGTTTTTTTGGTTGTAGCCCATGTGAATGTTACAGGTTTTTTAGCTACTGAATCTGAGCTAGCATGCAGAAGTAAGGCTAATGGTGAAAACGACCTTTCTTTTCTGTACAAAGACATTCAATGGGCCTTGAGTGTTACAGCTTAGTGGTTGAATGGTCCATCAATGTCAACTTATTAGCTATATTTATTATTTTTTTTTAATTTTTTTTCCTGAGGCCTGTAGCAACAAATTCTTTGTCCGTTTTTGTGCTCAGTCTTGAATATTCCTCTGCTGGAGTTAAGTATGTTCAGGAAAAACTGAGAAGCAGACCAGCTTTTCTGACTCCTCTAGTCCATTTAGAAACTTAGATCCCTAATCTTTGTAGGGACTGCTCTGGCTCAGGCAGTGAAGTCACAAGGGAAGGAGCAAAGAGGCAAAGTGGCAGAAGCACTTCTGGAGGGGAGGGGAAGAAGACACCTTCTCAGTGTTTGCAGTATTTGGCTAGTTCGTTTATCTGATGAGATTCCAGTGGGCGTAATAAAATCCATTGTCTTTTCAGGTGGGCTGGTAAAGTTGGTGTGGGTACAATTCCCTGCTTCCCAATTGCAACACCTCTCCTCAGGTGCTGGGATGTTAGTATTAATTGTTTTCAAAGAGAAAATGCATGTAAGTCAGGGGAATCTGAGTCAGTGCTTTTTTTTTCTCCCTGCCATCGACT